GAGATGGTCCAAGGGGATAGGATGGACCAAGATGGACCAAGGAGGGGACAGGATGGACCACGATGGATCAAGAACAGGACAGGAGATTGTTCAGGGAGGGGACAGGATGGACCAAGGAGGGGACAGGAGATGGTCCAGAGGAACAGGATGGACCAAGATGGATCAAGAACAGGACAGAAGATGGTTCAGGGAGGGGACAGAAAGGACCAAGGAGGGGACACTGAGTGGAACAGGGTGGCAGGATCCTGAGGTTGGACACCAAGGGGCCAGGAGGCTGGAGCAGGGTGGGGAGGGGCAGGAAGATGATGATGATGAGGGACAGGAGGACACCTTGATGATGAGGGGGGGGACACACAAGTGGCACCAGGAGGGCTGGAAGGGCATGGGGGTGACAATGAGGCCAGGGTGGGGACAAGCAGGGTCCCCAGGAGGCCCCCCCAGGGCCCTGGTGCCACCCCCTGCTCACGTCCATGCGTTTGCTCTCGTAGAAGTCTGCGGAGCGTCGGTCCTTCACCATCTGCTCGATGATGTCCCCGCGGCTCCAGCCCTCAAAGACCACCTTGCCGTGCTGGTAGCCCACGTCCTGGGGGGTTGGGGGGCATTGGTGGCCTGGGTCACCCCAAACCATGGCCCAGGGAGCCACAAACGATGGCCTGGGCACCCAACTGATGGGTGGGACATCCCAACTGATGGGTAGGACATCCCAACTGATGGGTAGGACATCCCAACTGATGGGTAGGACATCCCAACTGATGGGTAGGACATCCCAACTGATGGGTAGGACATCCCAACTGATGGGTAGGACATCCCAACTGATGGGTAGGACATCCCAACTGATGGGTAGGACATCCCAACTGATGGGTAGGACATCCCAACTGATGGGTAGGACATCCCAACTGATGGGTAGGACATCCCAACTGATGGGTAGGACATCCCAACTGATGGGTAGGACATCCCAACTGATGGGTAGGACATCCCAACTGATGGGTAGGACATCCCAACTGATGGGTAGGACATCCCAACTGATGGGTAGGACATCCCAACTGATGGGTAGGACATCCCAACTGATGGGTAGGACATCCCAACTGATGGGTAGGACATCCCAACTGATGGGTAGGACATCCCAACTGATGGGTAGGACATCCCAACTGATGGGTAGGACATCCCAACTGATGGGTAGGACATCCCAACTGATGGGTAGGACATCCCAACTGATGGGTAGGACATCCCAACTGATGGGTGGGACATCCCAACTCATGGGTAGAACATCCCAAATGATGAGTAGGACATCCAAACTGATGAGTAAGACATCCCAACTGATGAATATGACATCTCAACTGATGGGTAGGACATCCCAACTGATGGCCCAGGACACCCAACTGATGGTTTAAGCACCCAAATGATGACCAGGCACCCCAACTGATGGTCTGGGGCACCTCAAATGATGGCCCAAGCACCCAGCTGATGGATGGGACATCCCAACTGATGGGTGGGATGTCCCAAGTGGTGGCCCAGGACACCCAACTGGTGGCTTGAGCACCCAACTGATGACTGGGCACCACAACTGATAGTCTGAAGCACCTGAGATGATGGCCTGGGGCACCCAACTGATGGCAACCCACAGCTGGAGCACCCCATTAGTAGCCAGGGCACCCTGTTAATGGCCAAGACACCCCCTCAACAGCCAGGACACCCCAACCCATAGTTGAAGAACCCCAACTGATGCCCAGAGAACCCCAACCCATGGCTTGGGACACCCCATTGATCACCAGAGGCATCTGAAAGGTTGAAGAACCCCAACTGATGCCCAGAGAACCCCAACCCATGGCTTGGGACACCCCATTGATCACCAGAGGCATCTGAAAGGTTGAAGAACCCCAACTGATGCCCAGAGAACCCCAACCCATGGCTTGGGACACCCCATTGATCACCAGAGGCATCTGAAAGGTTGAACAACCCTAACCCATGGTTGAAGAGCCCCAACTGATGCCTGAAGAACCACAATCCATGGTTGAAGAACCCCAACCCATGGTTGAAGAGCCCCAACTGATGCCTGAAGAACCCCAACCCATGGTTGAAGAACCCCAACCCATGGCTGAAGAGCCCCAACTGATGCCTGAAGAACCCCAACCCATGGCTTGGGACACCCCATTGATCACTAGAGGCATCTGAAAGGTTGAAGAACCCCAACCCATGGTTGAAGAACCCCAACTGATGCCTGAAGAACCCCAACCCATGGTTGAAGAACCCCAACCCAAGGTTGATAAACCCCAACCCACAGCTTGGGACACCCCACTGACCACCAGAGGCACCAGAGGGGCTGGCCCAGGCCACCCCACCACCCTCCCCAGCCCCCAACTCACATAGATCTCGTCGAACTTGCCGAAGTCCATGGTCTTGAAGCGGTCGATGGGCGGGCGGATGTACTCGCAGTAGGAGCTGCTCTTCACCACCTCCAGCTGCCGCACGCAGGACACGTAGGCCAGACGGGACTGGATCTCTGCCATGTCGGGCACCTGCCAGCAGGAGGGGTCACCAACCACCTCCCCATCATCTCCCCACCACCTCCACGTCATGGAATCACGGAGCCGTGGGATGGATTGGGTTGGAGGGAGCTCAAAGCTCATCTAGATCCACCTCCACCATGGGCAGGGACACCTCCCAGCAGCCCAGGTTGCTCCAAGCCCCATCCAACCTGCCCTTGGACACTGCCAGGGATGGG